ATATACAACCTGCAGTCATCTTATAAAATAATTTATAGCATTATTTGGCCTCCTTTTTGGAACTTTCTATTTGGGAAAAAAATTAAAAATAATCAACTCAAGCAAACTCAATCCTAGTTTTCCTCTTCAATAAAAATGTTTTTACACAAAATACTGGCATGAATGTCCAAAGATTGCACTCTCCTCTCCAACGTCAACAACACAAATGTCTTCTCTAATGGCCATGATTGTTACTTTGTGTCATGGCTACAAATTGTGTTTAGTGGTTTTGTTTTTTTTTTTTCCCCTGTACAAAAACAGAGAAAAATGGTACAAATGTTCAGTGTGACAAAAATTTAGTGGTGTGATTCTATCTAATTTTCAGTTAAGTGGGATGCTGGAACAGAGTACAAGAAGAGTAACACTAATTTTAAGATGAAACTTCATGGGTTTATGCAGAATATATAGAAATTGCATTACTAACACATTTTTTGCTCATGAAGTCACATAATAGTGAGATTTGGATTCAAATATTCAGGAGATCTTTTACCCTCTTATATCTCTTGTAAAAGTTTTATTGATGGAATTTTTTCTCAGTGCTATACAGAGAAATTTCCATTTCACAAAGTTAGGTTTGTTATCTGCTTGAATATTGGTTAGCTGGTTTTCTTAAAACTCTGTGATCAGCACTGTGCTATACTGCCTAAAGAAATCAACCCTATTCATGCTTTCCCCCTCTTTTCTTAACCAAATTGAGTTGGTGCTGAGAGATTTCACAGCAACAATAAAAGTCTTCTCTTTAGTTCTGGGGAAGTGGAGGTTAGGATCAAGAATCTACTTTCACTTTACAGTATTATTGCAAGCAAATAATAATAATAGCAAAGCCACTATTTTCAGTGGTGGTGCTGGTGGTCCCTATAGCTGGTCTACAAAAAAGTCTCCTGAATAAAAAGCATACATGAGACACAAGTAATAAGAGAGAGAGGAGGACAAGAGTTTAGGACAGTCTTGCTTTGACTAACCCCAGGGTAAGACTGACAGATCCTTAATCACTCTCCAAATCAAGAACCAAGAAAATATACGAGCTACAAATTATGATTTGCATCTTTCTGGTTCTCATGAAGTGCTACTTCATTTTTGGTTGTATTTTGCTTTAAGAATAGTCATTCAGTACACACAAAACACACTGCTTGCCATCTCTATAATTTAGTGCATTAGTAGAAAATACTACTTTCATGCCACATCAGGTTACGGTGACTAATAAATCTTCTTTTTAAGCTGTGTGTCTGTATGTGTTCTTCTTCACTGAGAGAAACAGGAAAGTAAATTTACTGGACTGTTACTGATCTCCTAATAACTACAAAAACAGCTATATTAGAAACTTTTACTGTCAAGATTGGACAGGGCACAGAGCTGTGTTCGAGTCAGTCATCCCTCTTGCCAATATTGCTATTATTTATTATTATTTAAATACCAGCAATGTGCTAGTTCTTGTCCCACTGCTAACAGTGGCAGTCCTGTCCCATATTTATGAAGCCTTCTAAGTTTCAATTTTACTAAAACTCCTAAGTCACACAGAGCAGGTAATGACAGACACATCACTAGCTAATTATTTTTTAACTTGGGGTGTGGAAGCCAAGAGAAGAAAACCCTTAAACCCTTTCCCTCTGTCTTTTTTTTTTTCTTCTTCTTCTTCTTTTTTGATTTCTTAGTGTATTATTTCCTGCAGGACAGGCCACAGAGTTGGATTTTTCACAATAGGGACAGAATAATATCCATTGCTTGTTATTGCCCCTCACTGTCCCTAGGTAGCACGGATGAACTGAGTTTTTAAATGGGATGTGAATACATAGAAGAGTATGCCACAATGCCACATTGGACCTCATGCACATGGCTTCTCTGAAATTGTTATTGAAATGAAATTCATCTGGGTAGGTAAAGAGATATGGTTACAGATACATTGAAGGCTGCAAGAAAATGAATGGAAGAGTTTCCTGATTAAAGTGTATTTCAGCCCAGTTTACCTGGTTTCTGTGTCAAGTTATACTATGATCTCTCCTTTTCCATCAAAACATGGTTGGGTATGGTATCATTATTTGACTCATCTAGTTATTGACAATTTTTCAGTATTGTTTGCAGAAAATGAACGTATTAGTAAAGATTTAAATGATGGAATGAAATTCAAAGCACAGGGACTTTTATTTTTATGACAGAAGGCAAGAAATTATTTGCTGTAACCTCAAAATATTTTGTAGCTAGAAATTTTCAGCCAGACTCCTGTAATTCTATAACTTAATTATGGTTGCCTTCGTAGAATAAGAAACATTTATTAAATGAGCTAGACATTGACCTAGATTCATTTAATATAAAAATTTACACAGACATTAGTGATTTGAGATGGTAAGCACTTCTCCCTCCTTAATCTATTCTGTTGGCTCAATTAATGTGGTCATCAGAGACTACTTGCCCTTTAAGCCAACTCTGAGAAAGACCAGAGCAAAACTAGGCTGCAGTAAAAGACATGCTGCAAGGATGCTGGCACTTGGGTCGTATGTTAGAGCTCCAAAACTTTTCTTAATGCACTGCAGATGTTCCTAAGCTTTGAGTCTCTTTAGCTACGTTTTCATTTACTGTTTAGGTGGTCACTGTGTTACAGTGCTGCCAAGAGAGCTTTTGAATCAGCTTAGTATAAGAATTAATTATATTAATTCACACCAAAGTAATTGAAGAGACTAAAAGGGTCAGAATATCAATTGCAGGCATTCTGTCCTGAAATCAGTAGCTAAACCAACAGACAGTACACAGTTCATCCACCTTAGCAAACATTTTTTATTTGTGTGCTGAAATTGTCACTGCTGGTTAACCTACTGAGGTTTTTGGTTGGAAGAAGAGAACTGTTACGACTGGATTCTTTAGAGTCAGTCACAGATGTTCAAGAGAGACTGAAAAATAGTAGCTTCAAATAGATGCTTACAAAAGTTTCATTTTCCTTGTCCCCAAGCCTTTGCAGTCAGAGAAAACTGTGTATTTACTATGATAATTCTACTTATATTCGTATTTTTTAATTCAGCTCTCAACCCTCATAGATGTTGCCTTTAGGAGGAATAAGGAACTGAATCCTTGTGTGCAGGAAAGGCAATAAACTCTGCGACACAGATTTTACTAAACACTGAGCCTGCTTTCAGGTTAGAAGGAAGTCTGACTGGATTTTGCCTGTAACTGCAAACACAGCTAAGAATCTTATATTGAGCTCAATGGAACCTTTTCCTTATTTGACATCCCAGGGCAGTGCTGATGTTCAAACTACTATCACTGTTCTTTTGTGCTGTTGAACAGTCCCCAGAGGTTATGGATACTGCAGCCTAAATCAAGCCCGTTTGAGAGGAACTAATTCAAACACTGATAACCTGAGCAAACACTGAAGGGAGCATTAGAAAACATCCAGGAAAAAAAAAAAAAAGCTGCTGAAAGTTTATGGCCTCTAATCCTGTTAATAAAATATCTACTGGGCTCATTCTTCTGCTTATTTTTCTTACAAGGGAGAGGAGTGGATAGAAGGAAAAAGTGACTCTCTGACCCAGAGGAATGTTTTAGTGAACACCCTCCAAAGTATTTGACTATTAGTACCAATGGGGATACCTTTTAGAAAATGACAGAAACGTAAGACTTGGGGCCTGCTGCACCACAAGCTCTGCCTTCAACAATTATCCAAATAAAATAGTAACTTTTATCTACAACACTGCTCAGGTTTTGTGTAAAGGGCTTTGCAATCTGCAAAGGAAGGAAGAAATCAAGTCCTGGTATTGTAAATAGAAGCAGAGTATCCTTCAAGCAAAAAACAAATGAAAACAATCTCATATATTGTTTGCCTGTTCAATAAGAAGTTCAGAATTAAATCCATACTAACAAAGAAATTAGCTACAATCTATATCTGTGTATGTTATTCATATGAGAGACTGTATATAGGCTATAAATACATTTCGCAAATTATTTGCAGTCCAGCCCTAAATATTCTGCCATATATAAAAGTTAACAGTGCTAACTCAATAGTTAAAACTGTGTTGGAAGAGCAAATATCAGTTTTTCTAACAACATTTATATGCCTTGGGCATGTACGTTTACCCCAGCAGTAGAGCTGAAAGAAATAATAGTACAAGAATGTTTTATGTCAAATCTCAAACCACTAACACAAAGGAGTGTAATTTATCAGATCCAAAGGAAAACACTAAACAGTGCTAAAAGTACTACTATTCATTACATATCTAAAGGCTAGTGATCAATAGAGAGCACTATGCTCTTTCATTCAATAGATTCAAGCTTAACTGATTTTCATGGCTTCTTGAATGCTTTTATGACTAACAAGGCATGATCCACATAGTGCTTTGTAACTGATTTGCAAATAATCTAATAAAGTGACAGTAATAAATCACAAGTATCATTAATAAACCACCATCAAACAAAGCAGCACATTGGAAACAATGTGGAAAATGCACAGATATTCTTCCAACTACTTTGGGGAGTAAACAGGCTAAACACATAGTATTACTTAAGAACTGAGAGTTCAGTTCATAGTAAACATATACATCTGAGCTGTTAGAGATTTTCTATTGAAGTTGACAAACACTGCTTCTATGTTTCTTCAGAGTAGGTTCATAGGGGAAAAAAGAAGACAAAAGAAAAAAAGGAGAAGAGCTGAGAGAAAGCAAAGCTCAGATCGAGTAAACAAATGCTTGGAACCCAAGAATATAATCCAGTTTGGTGATGCTTGCATGCTGTTAAAACAACATTTTATGCTTGTTTACTTTATAATTTTGTACCTCATAAATACCTACAGTAGCTAAAACTGTCAGTGGTGCCACTTCAAAGGGCAGCGTCCCTAGGAACAAGATCTTTGAGGTTTAGTCTAGCCACAGTGTGGTTAAGGTTATGACAATGTTTCTTTAAATCTAAAAGCTAGTTGGCATAAATCCATGATAAGCACACATACCTACAAATGTGAAATTCAGGATTCATTTACTTACCCTTCAGGTGTGGATTTAGTGAAAGCTGGGCATTTAACAGGGTAACAAGCTTCCACAGACTTCATAGAGAAATACAGCTCCAAGATACATACAGCAGAAGCAAAGCAGTCATTTTGACTCCATCATCTCTACAAAAAAGGTGTACAATTAACAAGTATTTACTGGAGATGGAATCCTAGAAACACAAATTTTTAGCATCACCCAAGTTATTGCTAGGGTGAATGCTAGACCTATGTAGCACTTTCCTCTGTAGTGAAAAGAATGTCAAATTATTTAGCTTTGGACCATTTTGAATTAAAACCCAAAATATTTATTTCTTTTGCTTTTAGTTCTCAAATTTAGTATAGAAGTGGTAAAATTACAAGGGGAAGTCATCTTCCCTGGAGTTTTTGCCCTGTCCATATTTTTTGTAAATACCACAAGAAGGCTTCTGCCTGCATTATTTTCAATTCAGTATTTTAAAGCTTTACTTCTTCAGATAAAAGGATTATTTGAATTCTTGAACAGGAACGTGAATCAAATTCCAGTTAAAATCTTTAGGTGCTTTTTAACCACTTCTCTGGTGATCCTTGAGCAAATAAATGTTTGTGTCAGAGGCTTGAGGCAAAATACATGATTAGAGCTAATACTAAAGCCATCTTTCCTCTCAGCCTCAGCAACAAACTTTGGTTTAATACTAATAGCCATGGAAAAGTAATAAATAAGGTGGTGGCTAATAGCAGAGTGAATAAGGGTTTTCTCTCTGAAGATCAGAGGAGGACTAGACCTTGGTTTGCTACAGCAAAGGGGACAGATATTACAGATGGTTATTTACAGGCAAAATTCCCAGACTCCAAGGTAAACCATTCCCTTTTCATCTATTTCAGAAAAACACAAGTCCTAGATAAATACTTAATATTTTTCTTTTAAGGCAGTGAGGAAAGTTGGTGAGGCAGCACCAAGGAGAGGCTGAGGCTGGTAAAGAAGGCACTGAGCTGCATGCAGGGGAGGAAGAGGAGGAAAGTGTGCTCTCAGCAAGCACAGCTGGCACATCGGAAAGCCCCTCTTCTCTCTGCAGCAGCCTGAAACAGCAACTAACAGCTACCACATCCAATTGTCAACATCTGGGAGTTTTAAAAGGATGTCTGTGAAGTTCTCTTTAGAATACCAACATGCTGAGACAGCAGTGGGAGAGGGCACTACCCCTCCCAGGAAAATTCTGTGGATAGAACGTGGTCTTAGGGGCCACAGCAGCAAGTCCCACAGCCATGAACTGGATCTCAGTAGCTCTGAGAGGCCTTGAGGAAGTTAGTATTACCAAAACAAAGCTTAAAGTCTTAAAGCGTGAGCATCACACTTCTTCTTCAGCATGTGACTTTGTTATTTTTGATCCAGAGGCCACTGCTTACTTTAAATGTGACTTCACTTTTTGGGCAGAGATGGCTCTGGGACCAAATACTCAGCTGAACCTCAGATATGGAAATAGATATTTATAAAACTGCTAAAATGTCTAAAATCTTTTGATGGTAGAGTTAGGTTGCCTGCTGACATTTGCCTTGCATGTACATCTTATGCAATCAATTGTTTTAAAATAGTGTCCTTCATTAGTTTAGTTATTCACTTAAGCCACAGAATTACTGCTTTTTTAAATGGTTATTCTTATACGTACAAAAGTGTAAAGAGCCCCCAAAAGCTTAGCCCTTGCCTTCTCAGGACAAACACCTTCACAAATGCTTTTGGTTGCAGTTATGTTGGATAATATTTATCTCTCCTTTTTCCTACGCTCTTACACTTGTCACTTTGCCTCTAACAAGGGCTTAAAACAAATGAGGCCTTTGCCTTTACCACTCCAAGACAGCCCTTCCTGGCATCTTCCAAGCAGGCCCAAAACATAGAAGAAGCTAACTTTTTCCTCCTGTGCAATACTATCTCCTTTCCCTGCCTCAGTTTCAACACTGCACTTTGATTTTTCCTCCCAGGATGCTTACTCACAGCATCCCCGCCTCCCCGCCGCTGCCCCACCACTGAGCAGCGAGTGTCAGCATCGCAGCTGTAGAGGGAAAAGGCTCAGACCCGGGCGATGCGGTGCAGCATCACAGCGTTGCCCTCTTTGATGTCCCTCTCGCTTCCCACTGCCCGGCGTGAAGCCAGGTTGGCTCCAGGGGTGACGCTCGCCCCATGCGGAGGGCCCCGCTCAAGGTTCGCTATGCCATTTAACCCCGTGGATGTGCCGGGGAGGGAGGGAACCGGCGGGGGTCCTCGGAGGAGCAGCAAAGCAGCCGAGTCCCTGACCCTCCCGCCCGGCGACACTGCAGCGCTCGGTGGCGGCTGCTCTGGCTCCAATTAAGGCAGCGTGGAGGGGGATCTGAAAGGAGGTTAGGGGAGGGTCTGCCGGACCCACACTCCTGTGGCTATGTTGGAAATTAATTCCCACATATGTGGTGCAGATGGGCCGCAGCCCCTTTTGCAGGCTGCAGCCTGTAAATAAACTTAGTAGCAGCTGGGAAGGGGAACCAACTGAGCCTCATGTACTTTAATGGGTTCTGTGTTTCTGCATTTGGGAGTATTCCCTCCCCTCTCTAACCCATGCAAATACTTCTGTAAAGTCCTGTAAACAAAGCTGTGGATATAATTTTGAACGAGAAACTTGCCACCAGGGAAAACAGCGGTCAGGAGAAATACAACACCTTTTTCTCCAAAAAGGGTGTTTTGGTGTGTTTTCATAGATTAAAACCAGATTTGGCTGGTTTGAGTAAGCAGGCAAACTTCTGACCTTTTTTTCACATAATAAACCACCCCCCTCTCTGCCCAGCCTTGGTACCTAACCTGTCCTAAAATAGCCAAGTGGAACTTAGGGCCTGTAAGTGAAGCCGGCTTCATTGCCAGGTGTGGATGTTTGTCAGCACAGCACGGACATGTCCATCTCTAAGAGCTTGTGCCCTGGTCTCAATCCAATAAAGCAGTCAAATGTGTGATCAGCTTTATGTTTTCAGGAACTGGCTTTCAACAAGACCTGAAATCAAACTTTTACAGGAATGCTTTTCTGGATCAGCCCCACAGTGCTCAGTACTTGCTGGTTTGAGATGCCAGTATGCACCAAAAAAAAAAAAAAGTTTGTGGCTGAAAGAGCAAGGATCATTTAAAGCAAAGCATGATTTTTACAGCTCCATACAGAGTTCAAAGTTAGATGAATCTGCATGATTCTGTTTAGTTTAGTCAAGCAAAATAAAGAAAACTTCCTAGTTCTGAACCTGCACACAAATGCAATCTGGTTGCCATGTTAGTTAAATAATGCAAAGAGGCAAACTTGATGTCTTCTTTTCGAAGGCTTCTGTGCTCAGTAACCTCTGAACTTGGAATTAAATACGTAACACAAAAAATGAGGTATCCAATACCTGAATTATATTTGAGAAATCATTTTTAGACAAATTGGCTGCACTGCAGCCAGGGGCTCCATTAAAACATGTAAGCAGCAAGATATGTCCATGCACGTATCTGTAGATATGAACAGGTAGGGAGAAAAGGCAGAGGTCTGATATTGCACCGTCAGCCTTTCTGTGAGAGACTTTTTTCTTCTGAAGGCATTGAATTCTCGGCAACAAACAGAACCTGGGTAGATTTTATGTGGTTTGTGCATGGTTGCCAAGTAAGTAGATCACACTTCAGTTTCTCGTTCAAGTGAGTAGACAAATCCACAAGCATCATCTTTCTGCTGTTCTAGATTAATGTAACAAACTGAACTTCAACTTTTTTTTTTTCCAAATGTAAATGTAGTGAAGAGGTTACTGATAGAAATGCTGAGAGAGTTGTAAAGACAGAATCATTTGTTGTCTAGATTTTCTCAGAAAATAATAAATCACAGTAAATCTGAGCTATTTAATCAAGCAGCAGTAATACTCTCCCTGATGATTATGACACTGCTGGAAAAATCACATCATTGCCCACATTAATTCTGGTTATTTTCTCTTTTAGCATTAAAGTAAGAAACAAAAAAATAATTTAATTTTTATAGCTTCTCTCAGTGGTCTATAAAATAAGAGCAGAAGAAAACTGATGATCTGACTTTCTGTTTGGTACGTTGAAAAAGTTAAAAGAATAGGAGAGGATGAAACAAAAAATCAACTCCCCCTCTAAAATCAAATGGAGAGAAAAGCAACAAGAAAAACAAAACATGTTAAGGTAGTACAGAATCTAGGGCCAGGTAGCTTCCTCTGACCCACAGAACCTTCATTTTTGATGGATGATAAAAAATGATTTTTTATTTTAAACCTATAAAAACTAACCTTCTCCTAGCCACTGCCACTTGGAAATCAAAGGTAACTAATTTTCAGAAAAACGTGCCCATGATTTGGCCCTCCCTTAGGCTGCAGGTGTGATCCCTGTTGTTCTGTGAAGGACTCTGCTCCACCTACAGAGGAAAACCTGCCACTGGCAGCTCCACTGTCTGTCCTCACCACTTCAGGGCAAGAGTCTTACTGCAACAACTTTCTTGAGCTCACCAGCTCAAGTTCACTGAAGAGCCTGCAATTCACCTTTTAAAGTATTACTCATTAAAACTGCCTATAGAGAACACTTTGAAGCAGTGACCACAACAATGCTAGACTTTTGATGTGAAAATATGAGCTCAAAAATGGAGGGAAAAGAGTTCATTTTACAGTAGCTTCCTGTATCTGATAGCTTGTTGTCTGGTTCAGATTGACATACCTTGTCACTACAGAAATGCACGTCCCCAGCAAAGGCTGAGTATTGAGTATTCAGATTGTTTATAACTCTCTGCAGCCACACAAAGCAGCATAAGGCCTGATAACCCCAGCTGCACATTTTTTTCTGTAAAATATAACACAATAAGCTTAAAAACTGCAAGTGCTGGAAGCAGAGGTTAGAATTGCAGAATGATTTAGGGATGTCAGTGCCCACACTGCGCCTGCTGTGCTTGATGGGGACCTCCTCAGTAGGGAGTGCTGCTAGTGTCTGCATTTCACTTTCAAACATACAGTACACGTTTTAAACATGTTCTTTTGCCCCTCATTATGTTCATCCTTAGCTGAAAAATCTTAAAAAATGTTTTTAAAATGAGATAAAAAAGGCATTACACATACATATTTCCATCCT